AACCAATCAGAGAAGTCTAATGTGAAAGGCTTCATATCAGAAGCTTCGCAAATTTTTGTATTGAACTAAGTCTTACTTATTTCGCATCTGTCGCCAGTGAACCCGTCCACGCATGCGCAGGTGTAAGAGTTGACACCGTCTGTGCAGCTGCCGCCATTTTGACACGGACTGGACTCGCACTCGTCAACATCTGTGAAAGTTAACGGTCATTATTTGAAGTAACCAATCAGAGAACTCAATGGTTAGTGAAGTACCATAAGCTTTATAAATTGATTAACGTATTGAACTTAGCCTTACTTTCTTCACATCTGTCGCCAGTAAAACCGTCCACGCATGCGCAAGTATAAGAGTTGACGCCGTCAGTGCAGCTGCCGCCATTTTGACACGGGCTGGATTCACAGGCGTCAACATCTGTGAAGGTTAACCGTCATTATTTAAAGTAACCAATCAGAAAACTCAGAGTTGAGGGAAAGGCTTCGTAAATCTATATATTGAACTAAGTCTTACTTTTTTCGCATCTGTCGCCAGTGAACCCGTCCACGCATGCGCAAGTGTAAGAGTTGACGCCGTCTGTGCAGCTGCCACCATTTTCGCACGGGCTAGATTCGCACTCATCCACGTCTGAAAAGTTGATTATTTGAAGTAACCAATCAGAGAACTTCATGTTCAAGGAAGAGCAAGTATAGATTAAGATTCGTAATAACATAAGATTCGTAATAACATAAGATTCGTAATAACATAAGATTCGTAATAACATAACATTCGTAATAACATAACATTCGTAATAACATAACATTCGTAATAACATAACATTCGTAATAACATAAGATTCGTAAATTGTTTCACGTATAGAACGAAGTCTTACTTTTTTCACAGTTCTCGCCGGTAAACCCATCTGCGCATGTGCAGGTATAGAAGTTGTCGCCGTCCATGCAGCTGCCGCCATTTTGACACGGGCTGGACTCACATTCGTCATTGTCTGTAAAGGTTGACGGTCATTATTTGAATTGACCAATCAAAAAACATCTTGTTCACGATTCGGGGAATGGCAAATATCACAAGTTTGGTTAATTGAAAATGAACTGGAATAATGTTTTACCGTTTTCACAGTTGTCGCCAGTAAACCCATCTGCGCATGCGCACGTGTACGAGTTGATGCCGTCCGTACAGACGCCGCCATTTTGACACGGGCTAGATTCACACTCATCCACGTCTGAAAATTTGCTTCTAACGTTTATTATTTGAAGTAACCAATCAGAGAACTTCATGTGCAAGGAAGAGCAAGTATCACAAGATTCGTAAATTGTTTCACATATAGAACGAAGTCTTACTTTTTTCACAGTTCTCGCCGGTAAACCCATCTGCGCATGTGCAGGTATAGGAGTTATCGCCGTCCGTACAGACGCCGCCATTTTGACAAGGGCTGGATTCGCATTCGTCATTGTCTGTAAAGGTTAACGGTCATTATTTGAATTGACCAATCAAAAACGTCTTGTTCGGGGAAGGGTTTGGTTAATTGAAAATGTACTTGAATAATGTTTTACCGTTTTCACAGTTGTCGCCAGTAAACCCATCTGCACATGCGCAAGTGTAAGAGTTGACGCCGTCCGTACAGACGCCACCATTTTGACATGGACTGGACTCGCATTCGTCAACATCTGAATAAAAATAGTAGAACATTTGTCAATATCTAGATAAAGACGATGAGTTAAGGGTTAATGACCCCTCCCGAGGTGAATATGTTGTGATAAAGCCTTGTCAGTTGCTATAACCACCGAATAAAGCCACTGAGTGAGCGCAGCTGACAAGGCTTTATCACACCATATCCACCGGGACATTAACACTATTATCATATAGCCTATCAAAACTTACACAGTAAAGAGTGACACATTCCTGTATAACACATACAAACGAAATAGAACACCTTTCCATCTGGAGTCACTTGAGGTCACTGGGGGAGGGGCCGTGTTCTATTTGGGTCAAAGGCAGGGAACAGGTATTCTTATGGGAGTGACCCGAGGTCATTGGACCACAGCTCAAGTTTTTTTTAAATCTTTTTAGAACAAAGCGGTGTTTTATTTGGCTCACCTAAGGTCATATGCGGGTGATTATTGGGTTGTTTAATGTATGGATTGGGATGAATAATGACCTGGTTTTGACTCTATTTGTGACATTACGGCGTCATAAGGAATGTGGAATGGAGCCTTCTGATTGGTCAACGTCATAATAGAGTATAACGTTCAAAACTGATATTACTAAGTTGTGAAGATTATCATGTATAGTTCCTGGAAGAAATTTTGAAAAGCAAGTCTTTCAGTTCTTTTACCTTCCTCACATCTGTCACCAATGAAACCGTCTGGGCATGCGCAGGTGTAAGCATTAATGGCATCGCTACAAACACCGCCATTTTCACATGGGTTGGATTCACATTCGTCAATATCTGAAAAAAAAACAGCAACATACAATTGAATTACAGAAATTCTTAATTAGTAAGTAAACCATAGTATCCAGTTCCTCATAAACTATTCTTTTATAAAACTACCTAATAAAAATGGTGCAAAGTAATCATTTTGGGTGGATGAGATGTAGGTTGTTTATATGTTAGGAAAGAGTAGGTCGACACCACGTGGGTTGGTAGACAAATTAAAG